AGACTTGAATATAACCTAAGTAACACTTCTAGGTAGTTAAGTTCACTTAGCAATTAAAAAGGGGAGCTCACAAATATCTTAAGAATTCCATGTTTTTAAAGAAACATTATTATGTGATATGAAAAATACCTGTAAGACAAGTAAGGGGGAAAACAGGGAAAAACCTGGCAACACAAGACGAATGACTTCTTTTTAAGTTGGAGGGCCTCAAGTCTCGGTAGGTCCTAACATTTACACATATTTACTTAGGTTTTGATACAGGATCTTACTGTGTAGGCTGCCTAGCCTTGAACTCAGAGATCCACCTGCTTCTGCCTCAAGAGTGCTGATATTAAAGGAATGTACTAGGGAAGACACATTTTTAAACCTTTTTTTTTTTTAACATTATTTCATAGTTGTTGAAGAGGTGGTGTATGTGCTCACAAATGCATATACAAAAATAAGAGAAAGATGCTGTGTCTTTCTTGATCACTCTTTACCATGGGTTTTAGGAATCACACTTTAGGTCATCAGACTTGTGCAGCAAGCGCTTTATCCACAGAACCACCTTGCTGGGTTTTCACCTTATTTTCTGAGACAGTCTCAATTAACCTAAAGCTCATGATTTCAGCTAGGCTATGTACTCCCAAGATACACTTGTCTCCATGTCCCAGCATGGGAGTTACAAACACAACTGGCTATGTCTGGCTTTTATGTGGGTTGGAAGTCAGGTCCTCTTGCTCACTGAGACATTTTTTAATTAGGAAACATGAACATGAATGAGGAAATTTACCTATACTGTAACAAAAAGTCTACTTATACCTTGTCTAATAGAACAGATGTTCTCATTAAAAAGTTGGGAAGCAATGAGGAGAACAGAGACTATTAATTATCCCCAAGAAGCAAAGTGCCTCAGTAAGCTAAGTGTCTAATCAATTGAAGACTGGTGTAAATTATCTTCTGCATAACCCTTGCAATCATAAAATCACCCAATGAAGATCTACAAATGGCTGGTACTAGGAGGGAAGTAAGTGGTTTAAGTGAAAACATAGAAATGGAGGTAAATACTAGTGCACAATGACACAATTTAGAAATTATTTCCATTACAGAAGTTTATTCCTTTTCATTTATAAATCTTTTAAACCTCAATGAGTAAAAAACTCATAACCATGTGAGATCATTTTCATTAAGAATTTTAGCTTTTAAGGCCAGTCAATGGCTCAGTGGGGCAAAAATGCTCCCGTTGAGCCTGAAGACCTAAGCTTGATTTCCCAGGACCCACATTGTAGGAAAGAAGCCATACCTCCAAGTTGTCTGCTGACTTCTACACACACACACACAAATAAATGTAACAAAACTTTAAATTTTCATCATTTTTTAAGTAGAGATGCTTAAAATACAATTCACAGGAATAGGTATCCCTGACTTAGGTGACTACAGTACAAACTTTTGGAGGTTGCCCCACAAAAATCTCCCAAACCACACAGAAAAACTGAAGGTCAGTGGGGACTATGGACCCAGACCCTGTACTTATCCCACTATCAAAGATCTTTGGGGAAAATTCCCGAGAAACTCCAAATTCAGATTTAGATGCTGGTCATGAATAAATGTTAAACCACAAGACTACAAATGAGCCAGGAATAACATACAAAATACAGAACTGAATGTCACTGGTTCTACGATGAACCTGACAAGGCAAACAAAATGGTATGACTGTAGAGTCCTAAAACTAACTCATGTAATTCTAGATATACCATTAAAACATTCAAAACAATTCATCTAAAGAAAAGATTTTTTTTCTAGCATGATGTCTCATATATTGTTTCCTAAGAACATGAAAAACTTTATGAAGGGAGCTGTCCTTGGTCTTACTTTTCCTATGGACTGAACAATTTCAAATGTTTGTGAGTCACACCAGTGTACTGGGACCATGAAAAGCAAACAGCAAATCAAACTTGATGATTTGATAACTTGAAAGCATTTGTTGATACAGAATAGCTAATAGCTATTATTATTAATAGACAGGACTAAAACTTTCTTCAGCATTTCTCAGTTAATGATCACAAATTTCTTTTTTTGCTAACTTGATTCTGTTCTTCTGTAAACTCAAAATCTTCATGAAAAAGCAAACTTCAAATGCCAATGAATATTCAGTTTGAAGGCAGAATTTCTATAGAAATAGTCATCCTTATGAAGAGATTTTTTTTTTTTAAAAAAAAAAAAACCAACAACCATATTTTGAGAGTACCAACTTGTGGGTCAATTCTGTTTTTTTTTTTTTTTTCCTATCGTATTATGCTGTTTTACTAGTACTTACTTAACCACAGAACAGTTATGAAGAGCCAGAACAATGTGATTCAATTAAGGTTTTAAAAACAAACAAAAAGGCTTCCAATCACACCCCTATGAAAGCAAAGAGTTATGCAGCCTGATCTCACATGCTTTAGAGTCTTATTCTCACAGAGTCTTATTCTCACTTTCAACTGTAATTATACTCCAGTCCAAATAAAAGTGATACCCTAGGGTGAGGATATACTTACTGATGTAGAAGAAGCTTGCAGTGGTAAAATTGATGTTATAAACGGTTTATTAACAGAATTCCTTAGGAGACATTAAGACACAAAATAGTATTTAGCTAAGGAAGTGCTGCCTTCAAAATACTCCAAAGACAAGAGTATACTAGCCAGTCCTGTTACAGATAAGTAAACTTAAGGATTATAGAATGTAAACATTTCTTCACCAGGATTGCCCAGCTTCTAGGCTCTATTCCCATAACAATGGAAGCAGTTCAACTTACAACCATTAGGCCCATTTCTCTATCAGAGAACATTCCTCCAATAGTCAATTCTAGGAGGCTGCCCAGGGTGACCACCATTTTAAAGTGTGGTATGCCATAAAGACCTATTTCTTGTCTTAAGAAAAGCCTAATTCTACCAGCTAGACAAGATGGCCACAGGTAACAACTATCTGGTAAAGAACAATGAAGGTGTGTTCAAAAGTAATTCAGGTAATGAGAAATATCTTTGCTGTATAAATCTCCCACCTATGTAAGTGGCCAGACTTATGCAGTCTCCTGTCTCTGTCTAAACTGGTCAAAGTGTAAACTGGACCTGAGACCTGAAAGGTATTTAAGGATGACAACATATGTGGAATGCATAAACCTAAGAAGTATGTATGTCAGTAAAAATCTTCTATTCTTGTTTTTCTTTTTTTAAGATTTATTTATTATGCATACAGTGTTCTGCCTGCACATATGCCCTGCAGGCCAGAGAGGGCACCAGATCTCATTATAGATGGTTGTGAGCCAACATGTGGTTTCTGGGAATTGAACTCAGAACCCTTGGAAGGGCAGTCAGTGCTCTTAACCTCCAAGCCATCTCCAGCCCCAACATCTTCTATTCTTGACTGTCCTTGTTGGGGCTCATAAAGATGGCTCTGCTTCATCTTGGCTCAAGGTCAGATAGTTCAAAACCGTCCTTAGTAAGTCGTAAGACCTAGAGGTCCCAGGTATGGCTACAGTAGTAGGATGTTTGATCTTGGCCTTGGGTGTCTTATTTAAGCAACAACAGACTTGGCATGAGATATGGTTGTTACTTCTGACCCTCAAAGCCAGTTAAGGAGAAACCTAATCTAAGGTGTGGTTACCAAATCCTTGGAGAATTTCGGAAGAAAGTCTATTCCATATACATGATGCCATGTTCCCCTTTTTGGTTAAGGTATTATGAATAAACTTGGGTTGTTCAGTATTAACTAGATTTGACCTCCTAACTATGCTGTGTCTCTTTCTCTTAAAGTATTTACCTACCCCTTCTCTATCCACCCCCCCCTTCAAGATATGAACCAGGCAAGTCGGCTGGCTCCACCGACTGTAGGTAGCCCCACATACCCTTTTTGGGCATTAGCCAGAGCTGGACTCAGACCATCATTAAAAAGTTTTTTTCCTTACTTTTTTCCTGAGTGTGTGGATTGAATCCTGGGGGTGGGGTGGATTTACTTATTTCTGCTACAATACAATTCTGTTATAACTACAGGTTGTTATTTCCTGTAAAAGGCTTCAGTGATAAGTACTTAAAACCCTCCTTATGTTTTAAGAACACAAGGGATAAGAGGAGGAACTGGGAGTCTATGGCAGTGAATACAAATCACAGAAATTATCAATGTTTGAAAATGCCTTCTGGTCTTGCAAGGACAGCTTCCAACTAATCCTTTAACATTTAATTGAACCTAATTTTTGAAATCTATTTCAGAGACAATTGCAGCCATAATTATAGGCACAATGCAAGTCAATACTGTTCAGTGTCTTGAGGCTTTTATTTCGTAATTAGATTATTAATAAAATCCTAGAAATCTGGCACACAATAAGTCATCGTCAGAGTACACTGAGACACAATTTGACAATCTAGGGACCTTTGCAGCCTGGGAGTATTCTGTGTCCCTCTTCCACTACAATGCAAAATAGGGGTCCGTGGCAAGACCGGATGAACACGGTGGAGAAGTGTCACCTGATATTTAAAAACAAGTCTCTGAAGCCACTACACAAAAACTATAAGCTCATCGCTTACAACGCTTTGTGTCAACACCCAGGCTACCAACTGTTACTCGCAGATTTGGCCGCAACCAGAGGAACACAGGCGGGTCCGCCCGTTGACCTTGGAGAACTTAGCGGGGCCAAGACGGGGAAGGCCGGGCTCCACTCCCGCGGCTGGGATCGTAACCTTCGCCGGGAAGCTGTCGGCTCTGGCCCACTGCACCTTCCCAGTTCCAGCCCAACTGCGGTGGGATAGCGGGATTAGGAGTACGTTCGGCGTGGCACTGACTCACCGCCCCAGCTAGCGCCAAGCGCCGCCCGCGAAGAAGCCGCGAAACTGCTCCAACACCCGCCATGTCTCTGCAGTCCCACAAGCCTTAGCGACAAAGTGCGCTTGCGCACCACGCTACGCCGACGCCGGGTTTGGAAACGCTGCGCCTGCGCACCTCGCCGGGCTCCCGTGGGAGGTGGTGCGCTTTGCAAACGCGGCGCTGGCAGTCTTCGAGCTGGGTTGTCAGCTTTGCTGATGGGCTGTGCTTCAGCGGTAAGAGGGTACCAATGTCTTTAAAGTGCTTCTTGGGTAGTTCTTCGAGTTTGCCAAAACAGAGGTAGTTGGAGGATCCGGACAGATGGAAGTGGGGTCCTAGGGGCAGCGACCTCAGCCGTATTTTATTGGGTGCTGGGTCTCAAGGAATGGGCGGGAGCTACCCCTGAACTTCTGGAGTGGGTAGGAACGATCCCTTGGTGGCTGGACTAGGGACAGCTGCACTGGGCAGCTCAGAAGCCGCCGGGATACTGACTTTATTAGCTGCTGGCAAGTTTAGGGCCCGGCCTGTTGTCATCCAGAAAGCTGCTTAGATCATGGCTGGGACTAGCATTCCTTCATGCAAACTCGGTCTGATTTAATCAGATACAGACAGTATTTCTATTTTTCTAGCGAAATAGCTGAAAATTTCGGTACAATGAAATGTCATAAAAAGTTAAACCAATAATAGCAGTTGTTTCCTGAATTTTCACTTAATATTAGAGTGAGTTCTTCCTCTTGGTGCATAATATTTATGAACATAATTTTGTAATTTATTAAGTTTACAATGAATCGCTCCCAACTTATTTCTTATAATTGTTTTTATTAGTAAACAAGGAAATATGGATTATGTTTATGCACAACACCATATATAATCCAGATATGGATGTTATTTGTGTGGAGCTGGCCCTCTAAGGGTTATGTATTAGTGGGTTCTACCAAAAGCAGATCAAACACATCTAGGGAAATTGCATTTATTCTGAGTATGTACAGACTTCTTTTTAACAAGGGGGGGGTAAAGCATATCAACTACTTAAGTGCCTTTATACCAAATTACATATTGATGATTTAGAGATAATCCAAAGTATTGAGCAGATTATATTCAAATGTGCTATTTTATATGGGAATCTTGACTGTCTTCAAGGCTTTTGGTCTGCTGGGGCTCCCCCACAGAGATCTAAGATATGGCTATACTTAATAGGAAGTTTTTGAAATGTATGTGCTTTAAGTTAGTATATATCTTTCTAAATTAGGCATCTACCAAAATTTAATTCTATGGTTTATATAACACATTAAGTTCTGAGATATATTTTATGGTCACATACTTATTGCTCATCATACTTCATATCTTTACATGTTAAACAAAGTTTGTTAAAACGTTAAAATTTTGAAAAATTGTTTTGGGTTCCTTATTGCGTGCATCCTCATTAACTATTTTGTGACTATTATATTTGTGAGATATATACATATAAGCAAGCTGTATGTTCTTATGACTTTACATTATGAAAACACCCATCTAGTATGGGTACTTTGTGATATTATTTTTTATTAATTTAAGACAGGCTCTTATTAAAGCTGGTATAAAGGCATGAATCACCATGCCTGGCTAGTAGGGTTGTTTTGTAAACTAGTAGATTCATATTAACCTTGGTCTCTAGCCTAATTTGGAACTTATACTCTGAGATGAAGCAAGGGATTTCTCTAACCCTGATCATGACAAGCATGTAAGTAGCTTTCCTTTTAATTTTGTCTGTAGAAAGCTGCTAATTCTTCAAAACCCAGCTCCTATGAAGCAGATATCTGTTGTAGATTATCCTTTATTGCATTTGTCTATGTTAAGAGTTTCACAGAGACAATCAAAAAGAGACATGTACAATAATGTTTTACTTAACAGTGGAGGCAGATTGAGAAATGCGTTGATAGGGGATTCCAATTTTATGTAAATCCCAGAATGTACTTACTCAAACTGAGCCTACTGTGACATTGCTGGGCAATATAAACAGGACTACTATCATATGTGCAGTTCATTGTCAACCATAAATTTTTAGGGCTTATGATGGTATATGTAGAGTAAAAGAACATTGGTTTATTATAAATAAATAATCAGTATAAGCACTCAAATGCTTGCTGGTCATACAGAGACACTTTTCAGGCACACCTAGAATGAATGATGTTTAGACAATTAGCTAGGCATGCTGAGATGCCTTCTCTCAGTCATATTGGCACATAAGGTTAATCATTACAACAACCATGCATCTAAAAATAAAAGAACCATCACATTTGCTTGTACTTCACTTGAGACATATCTCTCACACTACTCTGTGACTTCTTGAAATCACATAGGATGCAGTGTTGTGCAGCATGTAGAGCTGAAAAGTATTTTCATAGCAGCTGTACTCTGTTGCTTTTACATAATTAGTATCTTTTCATTTTCTTCAAGGTATAGCTCCATGAATAACTTAAACGACCCCCCAAATTGGAACATCCGGCCCGATTTCAGAGCTGATGGTGGTGATGGAAGCAAGTGGAATTATGCCCTGTTGGTGCCAATGCTGGGATTGGCAGCATTTCGTAAGTTTTTATTGTATTGGCATCTCTGTTTCCTGGTCCAAAATTATGCCGGAAGTAGGTTGCTGCAGGGGCTGGATACTTGCTGCAGGGGCTAGATACCCTAAGGGTTGTCTTTAGGACTTGACCAATACAGTGCAGTTTTACCCTAACAGCAACTGTGACAGAGTTAGTGTAATTGGACTTCCTTTGGATCGCCAGCCCCCAAATAATGACCCAGAGACTCATTTGAAAGCTTGGTCTTAGCTTAGGCTTGTTTCCAACTAGCCCTCATAACTTAAATTAACCTGTTTCTGTTGATCTATGTTTTACCATGTGACTCTTTACTTGTCCTCCATTCTGTATGTCTGATTGATGTGCTCTGCATCTTCCTGGAACTTAAGCCTAGATTCATACCCTGAATTCTTCTCCCTGCCCAAAAAAGTCCCGCCTAACCTCACCTGCCTACCTATTGGCCATTCACCTTTTTATTAAACCAAACACAAAGACACATCTTCACACAGTGTAAACAAAATGTCCTGCCACAGACTAGTTTTTCTGATCCTCGGTTCACCTATTTCTAGAAAGTAACTGACAAAAGCATTTGGGATAGGTTAGGTTTTAATAAGCTTTAGCCTTCTCTCAGTGCTTTACTGTTCTAAGGGAATCTCTTTGCCTTACTTGCCCTCCTCAGGACCGACAGAAAGAAATTGCCTTAAAGAAAACTAGTTAGGATGTATATTTAGTATTTTAAAAGTCAGGTATTTGGTTGAGTTTGCCCATAAAAACTACTTTGCAGGCTAGAAATCTTCATGTTTAAATTGACTGAACACCATTGAGACTCTTACCAATCATAAACTACAGTATGTATGGGCATATATGTGTTGGTGGGTATAGTGAAAGAAAATTTGAGAAAACCTGAGCTCTTAACTATGTTCCCACCTATGTTACTGATGTAGAAGAGCTGGTTTATATTCCTCCATCTTGTTCTGGTCAATCTAAGAATATAAGAAACTGATGCTTCAATAAATGAAAAGCATATACTGTGCCCATATGTATAGTGATTATTTTTATACAGTAGCTTTTTATGTGTCTGACATTCTTAGTTCAGAAGTTTGCCATGGAGGAAGAGGGACCTAAGCATTGCCTGGTGCCAGTCCAGATCCATCCCAGAGGGTGCTGTTTAAAGGTTCCTGCCTGTCGCCCGTTTCAGTAAACTGTTTAGCATAAAAGGCAACTATTACTTTGGTTCTGTGTGTGGCTTGGAAGCCTTAAAATCATAATGGTAGAGTCTCATCAATTAGTGGTGTTAGTCACTTTGAGTGAGTTAGCTTTGAGAATGAAAGAGGACCTTTCATTTTCCATGTATTCTTCAGACTTGTTTGTAGCTTTAATACAACTCATAACTTCCAGATTCTTTTTCCTTTTTGGTTTTTTGATACAGGGTTTTCTGTATTGCTTTGGAGCTTGTCCTAGAACTTTCTGTGTAGATCAAGCTGGCTTTGAACTGCCTCTTGCCTCTCTAATGCTGGGATTAAAGGCGTACACCACCAACGCCCAGATTTGCTTTTTCTTTTTAGATGTTCAAGTTGCTACTTTTTGCCCTGAGAAGGATTGCAAAATGCTTTACGCTTTTGTAGTGATTATCTTGATTAAATAATGTATTCTGAGATAACTGGGTTTTTGTTTGTTTGTTGATATTTTTGTTTGTTGTTGTTACTTTAAATCATAGTCTCACTATGCTGGCCTTAAATTCACAATCCTCGTGCCTCAGTTTAGGTGTGTGCCAGGACAGCCTAGCCTAGAGGTAATTTTTAGCTTTGCATTTTTAGAAGGATTGTCTAAAAGTAAGTTACTGCATGTTTGAGGACATGCATATGTTAACTAGCCTTCATTGAGATCTGGGAGTAACAGCAGATGAATGAATGCTTTACTTGATAAACTGATGGATGAGAACTTTAATCTGATGATTTAAGTTTCATGGCAAACCCTCTGTTCTTTCTTCCTTTATTTGATAATTTTCAATACAATTCAGAACTGGTGAAGTTGTCCTTACGTTGAAGAGTTTGTCCCTCTTTGGCAGGCTTAGATCCCCTTGTCTCTGTTTTTCCTTCTTTCTCATTCCATTCCTGTTCATTTTCCCTTTTTTCCTTCGCCCCTCTCCCCCCCCACCACCTTTTGAATAGAAAAGAAACTTAGATCTTAAAAAGAGATAGTTTTGAGACCATAGTAGACCACATATGGTTGTAATAAGTAATAGAGAGATCTGTAGCCTTTACTCAGTTTCCCCTAGTGGTTACCTCATGCAGACTCATGTGAGTTATGGCTGACACAGTCAAGGTAACAGCATCTTATAAAGGAACACCTGTTATTTCACAGCTATAGTTTCCTGTGAAACTGTAACCATTCATCTGGGAACCAGTTGATCCATGATGTTATTTAATTGGAGGTATGAAGTTATGTGACATAACTAAAATATCTGATCTGCCTGGGCTTTGGTATGACAGTTCATTTTGCTTTGAGACCTGCAAGTTTTGGATGTCCAAGCTGGCCTTAAGCTTGAAATCCTCCTCTCTCTTAGCCTCCCAAGTACTAGGTTTACAAGTACTTGCTACCAAGTCCAACATAAGTTGGACTTCCTCACCTTATTTTTGTAAGACAAAATAGCAAATCCACCATGCTTAAGTTATATACAGATTATAATTGGGTAAAGCCCAAGTGTGACTTCCAACAATATTTGAAGCCTACCCATATTAATTTTTTAAACACTGGCAATAAGTCATGGAGCACTGAGGCCGAGTGCATAAATGATAGATTCAAAAACAAAACAGTGATAAATTTTTCCAGCCATGGAAGTTAGACACCACAACATGGATATTGAATGTGCTGCTTTCAGTACCCAGTCTGCCTATTTTGTTATCTACGAAATTTCAATGACTTAGTACCTTTGCTGAAATGCTGCCATTGCTTGTTACACATTTTCCTTAGGTAGTCATAGGATTTTAATTGTGTCTCTTCGTGTGTCTGCCTTATCTCTTCCTTGTGTCAGGTTGGATTTGGTCTAGAGAATCACAGAAGGAAATAGAAAAAGCAAGAGAAGCATGTCATGAGAGAACAACTGCTTTCCAACGGGATCTTGAAGCTAAATACCATGCTGTGATATCAGAACATCGGCGTGCAGTTGCTCAGCTGTCTTTGGAACTGGAAAAGGAGCAAAACAGAACAACTAGTTTTCGAGAAGCTCTTATTTCTCAGGGGCGTAAGTTGGCAGAAGAAAGGAAGCTTCTTGACCAGGAACGAGCTCAGATAATGCAAGAAAAAAGCCAGTTGCGCTCTCTGAGAAGTGTCTATCTGAGCTGCCTGGAAGGAGAGGATGACTGGCAGAGGAGAGCCCAGCTTGTGCTGAAGGAGGTGGGAGAAGCTCTAGTAGAACGCCAAAATATCTACTGCAGCCTGATCCTTCCTCGTAGTACAAGGCTAGAGCTGGAGAAGAACTTACTGGTGCGCTCATCTGTTGATCCTGTGGCTGCTGACCTAGAGATGGCATCTGGCTTATCTGACATATTTAAGCATGATAAGCATTGTGGAGATGTCTGGAACACCAACAAACGTAAAAATGGGAAGCTCATGTGGATGTATCTTAAATATTGGGAACTACTTGTTGAACTTAAAAAGTTTAAGAAAGTAGAGAAAGTCATACTAGAAAAATAAGAATGAAATGAAACTTAAGGCCAGATGGGGCCATTCATTCACCATGGCAGTCTGCATTCTGGGCTCTCTGATATTTAACTCTGTTCCTTTGCTCCCAGATGTGACTTGGTACAGCTACCCTCTGTGAGAAGGCAAGTCTTTCCACTCTTTGAACAGTGCCGTAGGAACTTAGCAGATCAGTTTTTTCCTATGATGCTCTGCAGATATTAGAAATTCAATTTTTCTGAGACATTTTTGAGCTGCTAATATTAAGCGGAACAAGTACAACCATACATTTTAGTTCTAAGGTAAAGAAAAAATTTAAAGCTCAAATAATTTTTGGTTTTTTGAGACAGGGCGTCTCTGTGGCTTTGGAGCCTGTCCCGGAACTAGCTCGTATAGACCAGGCTGGTCTCCAACTCACAGAGATCTGCCTGCCTCTGCCTCCCAAGTGCTGGGACTAAAGGCATGGGCCACCACCGCCTGGCTCAAATATAATATACTCTACGAAATGTTCTGTTAGTTTTTACCTCTCCAATTACTATTCTCCCTTCCCCGATTCCATCTAAAAGTTAAATTACCAAGATTTATCTTGTTTGGAACATTTTCTTCACAAAGAAAAACAAAAAAAAAGCCACCAAGTGTTTCTTTTGCTCAGCTGGTGCCCCAGTAAATGCTTAGACAGTAAGCATGTTTATTAGCAATGACATGCAGTCAATAATACTTGTCATTTAAAATGAACAGTGTCACTTTTTATTTATGTGATTCTTTACTATTCTTTTGAGACAGTGTTGCTACATAATTCAGGTAGGTCTCATGTGCCATCTTCCTGCCTCAGGCTCCCAAGTGCTGGGATTACAAATGTGTATCACTACTCTTGGGTTGGTAATTTCACATGCATCTTCTTGCACTTTAGCATTATTTAAAAAGTAGATAAGTAAACAAGATAGCTTGTTTACATACAGCTTATGAGTTGATCCTTTGTATATAACTCATGTAATCCTTACTCTGATTTTATGAGCTAAGTACTATTGTTTATCTTGTAAATGGTAATTTTCCAAGATACCCAGATTCTATGACTTCCTCTGGTTTTTTGAGCTAAGTACTATTTTGTAAATGGTAATTTCCCAAAAATACCCAGAGTCTATGGTTTGCCATGGTTTTCTAAGATTCTACCTGTGATTGCCCTCAAGGGTAAGATTTGCTATAGCAAGACATATAAAATTAAAATTAGCAAAGGTGTGTTGATCAAGTCTAGAGGGAACCAGGGGGATCTCCCAAAGGTCACATTCTGTGGAATTACAGGGAACATTTTTTAATTTAGGGGCAAGCTGTAACTTATGACAGGTTCCCAGCAAAGCTCACTGGTAACTATCAAGATTTTGATGGGGTGAGGGCTATTCATGTAACCCTTCTGATTTCCTTCCCACTGGAAGGAAAGTGGTAGACATCACTCATACTCTGCAAGCAGTTTAGGTGTGGTGAGCTACTAGTTACATGCTCTGGAAACTCCCATAATCCAGGTTCCCAGACATGTGTTAGGTACTAGTCATGAAAGAATGCAGTCAATATGGAGTCTATTAAGTGAGCTCTTCTGCATAGCCTTACTTTCTGGAGGACAGGTTCTGGAGCCACAATAGACAGATGGTAATCTGCCTAGGTTTTTGTTTGTTTTTCGAGACAGGGTTTCTCTGGATTGCTTTGGAGCCTATCGTGGAACTCCTCTGTAAACTAGGCTGGCTTGGAACTTACAGAGATCAGCCTGCCTCTGCCTCTGGTGTGCTGGGACTAAAGGTGTGAGCCACCAATGCCTGGGTGTTTTAGTAATCTTAAAATCAGTTTTCTCAGATTGTTTCCTAATGCATTAGATCCTTGAAGGAAGCCCCATAGTCTCTAGTCCCTGTAACTCCTCTGATCTGCTGATCTGTCAGGTGATCTTGGACAGACCAGTCTTCATGGCTTTCTCTAAGGTTTATCTTTGTTTGTTTTGGGGTTTTTGTTTGTTTGTTTTGTTTTTGTTTTGTTTTTTGAGACAGGGTTTCTCTGTCTAGCCTTGGCTGTCCTGGAATTCACTCTGGAGACCAGACATCCACCTGCCTCTGCTTCTCTGCTGGGATTGAAGGCGTGCACCACCACTACCCTAAGATTTATCTTTTACAATGAGGACATAGTTTTCTTTTTCTTTTTTTCCTTATTTTACATATTGATCCCATTTTCTTCTCCCTCCTTCCCATCCACCCCCCCAACTCCACAGGGAGGGTGATGTCTACCGGAGGGATCAACAAAATCTGTCCCTCCTGCCTCTAGGCTAAGGGAGTATCCCTCCATGGGGAATGTGCTCCCAGAATATGAGTACATATTTTCTTTCCATGGGAATCACATTAACTGTGCCTGTGACATGGCCACTTTCCATTCTAGTCTGCTTTCTGTCTTTTTAAGCTGAAATTGTTAGCATATTTTTATTGCTGTTCAGAGGTCAAAAAGGAAGAACTCTGAGGTAAGGACTTACCCAGGGGAGGAGATAGCATGACAGACCCTAGGCTGGCACACGGGTGATTATGGAGCTAAACTTTTATTTCTGTCCCAAGAAAATTATTTTCATGCTGAATTTTAAGATTTAGATTAATGAAATAAACTACACATAAACTGCACTCCTATTTTATTAGCACTTAATTACATTAATACTTTTGCAAAGCAGACACTGGAAAGAAGTCCAAACAGGTCTTCCTCATGTGGTAATATGTTCCTCAAAGGAGTTACAATGTGCCAGGCCTCAGCCATTCTTAAGAGCAGTGATTTGGCATTATAGACATGCTGTCATCTACAAAGTTCGTGCTTGAAAACTATAACTGAGTCATACAAATTACACAAACATAATCTCTGTTTTGGGTAAGTTTAAGATTTTGTGATGGGCTGCATTTATAGCTATCCTCTGACATTGTGGCTGCATATACCATTCATGTTGGCCATGCCTGTCTTCGGGGCTGGATGCAAAGCAGAAAGCAGGGTCAGAATATTCCAAGAATACTGGGAATATTTCAGCAGCTAGGTGTCCTCAGTCACCAAACCATGGTGCAAACATGCTAAGATTGGAAACAAAGCCAAGACAGCTATGGACAAAAAAATGATTAACCACTTCCACCCCCCGGTGTAGGCAGCTGTCATCTGGTAAAAAGTACAACAGACAGAACATAGCAAAGCTTCTGCTAGGCGCAGGGGTCCAGTTCACTTATTTTCAGTGTATTTCTCTGGCTGTTTTTTATGGGCTGCTGCTCTTACACATTTCCTGTGATGAGTTTTCTCATTTCCTCCCCCTCGCTGCATCAGGGCCATGTTGACCCTGTTCCCACTACATCCTTCCCTGGTGGCCACATTCTCCTCCACTTAATACCTTGGTGATAGGTCTGTCAGTCTAGGTGGCTTCCCCTTTACTTCCCGTGCTGACACACAGCCATTTATATAGCTGGGCTCCCTCTTAGAGCATTTAATGAATATGACTGTAGTTTTCACTAAGGAAATCTGTGGCAGTGATACAAATGGCTGAGCCTGATCTTCTGATTCAGGACTGACCTCAGGGCACCACGCTAGTAGAAATGCACAGCCTCTTGTGGCATGATTACAGGACCTACTCCATTTGTTCTAGTGCCCTGGAGAAGTTTTCCAAAGCAGTTTTGAAAGCTTGCAGCAAGAAAGTACCAAGTTCATTGCTGGTTTCATGAATGTCTGGGTCAAAACTTCCAAAAAGAGGGGTGGAGGCCTGGATGTCCTCCCGGTTAGCTCGAAGCAGTACTGCTCGCAGATCCTCTGCAATCATGTCATATTTCTGTTGGTCGAATGTGGACACAGACAGCTCATCCTGTGGGTAGGTAGTGCCCTCAGGGTAGCAGTCCTTTGGCACTGGAAACTCAATGTGGCGGAGCCTAGGGAGTTCGCAGAGTGCAGCAAATAGGCGCTGGAGAGCACTGGCTGACAGTGGGTTTCCAAGGAACTTGAACTCCTGGAGCTGGCCGCAAGGACTGAGGCCCAGAATCATCATGCCAATGTGGTTGTCTGTGATGTTGCACTCCTCAAGGGTGAGCACTCTCAGTGTTTGTGCAGCCTGGCTCAGCAGCCGGAAGAAGGTAGCAGGGTACAGGTGGACCAGATTATGTCCACTGAGGTCCAGCACCTCCAAGTGGGCAGTGTGCTTACAATCTGCTAAGAAGGACATGTCTTCATGATTAAGGGCACAGTTGGCCAGGTCCAGCACTCTTAGTGGGGTCTTCAAGGGGCTGCAAAAACATCACAAATGTTACGAGGGTCCCAACTAAGCTGGAGTTTTGGTGGAGGTAGACAATCCATCCACTTTTCTGTCTTAGGGACCACAGACTGCAGCCTGCCAGGAACTCCAGCTGGCACTTCATTTCACATGGCTCCTAAGTTATTTTTAATAAGCAATTGAAAAAAAATCAAAATAGTTTGTGACATGTAAAAGTCATATATTTCTTGTGTTTTCTGGTTCTGCTGAACAGTCTATAATTGAACCTAAAATGGACCAACACCACCTTTCAAGTTGGGTAGGGAAGTTAAGCACATGATCCCAGAATTGTCAGAATATCGAGAGGGAACAGCAAAAGGCAGAATTAGTTTGAAAGAAGGTATTGTCACTCTGATGACAATAGAATCAATACAATTTCAGGGCTGGGCAGCACCCTGAATTTGGACTTCATATCTCGAATTCACTAGGCATCCTGTATCAGATGGGGGAGATGTGCCTCTAGATTCACGAGAATATACATTTCATGCCATCCCATACACATTTTCTGGGATCCTGGATCTTTCTGGAAACATCCCCATCACTGCCCTTGTTTAGCAAGGCAGTATGTACTGGGGTCTCTGTCTCTTCTACCCTTGCTGCCTCCCCATGGCCTGACCACACATGGTCCCACATTACAACCTACTACCGGGGCAGTACTCTTCACATGAAGCCACCTTGACTTTATCCCTACTGGATGGATGGCTGCAACCCCTGCCCTTCTTCATAGCAGAGTTGCTGAGGAGGCCGTAGCAGTGGCAGGGTGTCAGGTGAGACAATAGTTCACCTGACAGCTGACACAACATTGTCACTATGCTGAGCCACATTCCCATTCCTGACCTGGGAAAATGCTTTAAGACATTGGGTGATTTGTTATACAACAGTAGTCAGTGGAAGATCTAGTTGGGCCTCCTTCACTGTTTACTGTCTTCGTGCCCTCCTTCTCCTGCCTTCTCTTCCCTCCTCTTGTGCTGGGAATTAAAACTGGGTCCTGTTAGTGCTTTATTCCTGAATTACCCTATATGCTCAGCCCTTGTTTTTGTTTGTTGAGAGGAGGCCTCTTTGTAGTTGAGCTTAAACTTACAATGCCACTGCCTATGCCTCCTGAGCACTGGGATTATGACCAAGCCCCCCATGCCTGGTTTTTGTTAATTGAAAGGTGTCTTCCAAGTTGGCCCAGTGCTCTGGTTCTTTTCTGGTGACTCTTAACTCTGTGACTCTGGCCAACACATCCCCAGAGAACATTGTGTAAGCAGATCCCATCTCTATTCCTATACCTCAGTGACGCCAGCCTGGTCTACTCCGCCCAACCTGTGCCCAGTTATTTGAGACTTACCTAAGCAATGTTTGGATCTTCCCAGTCAGTGTTGAGAAAGCTACACTTAGCTCAGTGAGCTTGTTCATCTGGCTGAGCTCCCAAGCAATGGAGTTGAGGAGGGGATCCTCCCCCTCTGGAGTGGGGGCACAGGCGGGGGGTGCATCAAAGGCCTTGGTGGGTAAGGTGAGTGAGGTCAGCTGAGGGAAGCCCACCTGGGCAAGCAGCTGCTGTACATGGCCAGCATGTAACCGTACATTGTGTACTACCTCCAGCTTCCTTAGCTTGCTTGGCCCAGCTAGGCCAAGCACTTGAAGGAGCTGCCCAGGACTCAGGCTATCTGCCCGCAGTGAAGGGCAGCAGACCTGCAGAGGTGCTGGGCCTGCTGGCTTCAGGGCCTGTACCACTATGTCAAAGTTGCCTTCTGTAACAAAGAGGTCAGTAAAGACTTCAATGGGGCGCCTGGCTGTACACGGCTGTCCTTGGAGCTGGCAGCAGATCCTGGCCAGCACCTTAGTGCGTCCCCACCTTCCCAGCGCCCTCCCACAAGGACATTGCTGCACCTGAACATCCTGGATGCCTGTGAAATCCGCAACCCGAAGCCGGTTGCTCCTACTTTGCAGCACGTGGTCAGCAAGGCCCTGCATGCAGGCCTCCAGGCAGGCCGCGCAGGCCCGATCACGCAGGTCTTCAGGGTGGTCAGTGTTTGGCCCCAGCAGCACAGCCAGCCGGAACTCCTCTAATGGCCAGTGACTCAGCACAGCACGAGTTACTTCTGCTTGCTCTAGCAGGTAACTGGCCTTGAACAGGAGTGGGTAGAGGTTGTAGGCTACATGGTCCAGGCTCTCCTGGGCCAGCTGTGGGTGGGACACCAAGGTTTCGGCAGAAATGAAACGGAGCGACCTCATTTTGTCCCTGGTCGGGATAGTGCTGTCCTTGCTGTTCCTCCCAAAGCATGTGGATTTTGTGCCTACTTTTAGCAGCTGCTGCTTCTGGGCTCTGGACAGAAAGTGGTAAACTGGCCCTCGTGGTCATCTGACTGCTATTTTGGTCCTTGGACACTATTTGGCCGTGACTGTGCAGGCATCTGTCTGTTTCATTGCAACCTGCTGGTGAAATCAGAGCTGCTTGGTTTTGTTGCCCAATGTGGGGCCGATAAGTTGAGCTCAAGGTACTTGCGCAAATAGTCTAAGGTTTACAATACAAATGGATATTCTGCCCATCACTGGCCCATCCCAGTCTAAAGATATGAGTGAAGCTAAGCTAGTTCCTGAGCTGCACTTGGATAGATGAAACAGTTGTTTTTGGGTAAAGCCCTTCTTTTCCTTATACCCTAGGAGTCAGAGATGCAAGGGCCAGGATTATGGGGTCGGTATCTCATACAACTCTTCAAATTTTAAGAATACTGGCCCATGAAGCTTCACCATCTTTTATCCCCAAGGTCGTCTTTTGTAGAAGAGAGAGAAATAGTTTCCCTGTAGAACAGATAGAGACAAGTAAAGCAAGTGATGCTGCAAATAAATGCGGGTGCCTTTAGGCTGTGGCTTTTCAGCCCTAGCATAGGTGGGTGTTGAATAACTGCTGAATGGTTAAATCCTACCTTCTTATCATGCACATCACCTGGGATAGGGCAGCAGCACATCCTGGTTTGTAGGTCCCCATGTACAGGAGGGTCATAGTAGAGAAGGAGAGGAAGGAGGCAGACAGGGGCCAATCCAGGTGAGTTGCTGCAGTCAGGTGTACCCCAGTTTCCCCGGGTGACCTTCTTTGACTTCTTCCTCCTGATCTAGAGCTTTACCTCTCCCAAAGACTGCCATGGACATAGATGGGGATATAGTACCATGGTGGAGCACCAGGCACTGCCAGGTGGGCAGGATTTCTATGGTAGGCAATCCATGACACAACTTTGCCCAAATGTCACCATATGTCCCTGTCCCCAGCCTTGGCTGCTGTTGGTTGCTTTTTTACTCTTTACACTTTTGCTTTTTTGGTGGGCCTGCCACCAAGCTCCCAAATAAATAGTTTTATGAATTCTCAGTCTCCTCCTCCACCTACTCTTCCTCCTCTTGGATTTTTTTTTTTTTTTTTTTTTTTTTTTTTGAGATAGGGTTTCCCTGTATAGCTTTGGAACCTGTCCTGAAACTGACTCTAGACCAGGTTGGCCTCCAACTCAACAGAGATCCACCTGCCTCTGCCTCCCAAGTACTGGGATTAAAGGCATGTGCCACCACCACCCAGCAGCTTTTTATGAAATATCCCAACTACCTTTTGGCTCTGGGTTTTGACCTTTCTCTATTTCTGAATATCTTTTGTGATTGGCTATCTTTTCTTTCCTTCTTATTCTGTGTCTGGCTGTGTGGCTGGGTAGCTGACCCCCCCCCTTCTTTTCTCAATTCTTATCTCTTATCCCCAGATTTCCTCTATTTATTCTCTCTGCCTGCCAGCCCTACGTGTCCTTGGTATTGGCCATTCAGCTCTTTATTAGACCAATCAGGTGTTTTAAATGGGCAAAGTAACTCAGCTTCACAGAGTTAAACAAATTCAATGTTAAAGAATGCAACGTGGGGGCTAGAAAGATGGCTCAGAAGTTAAGAGCACTGACTGCTCTTCCAAAGCCACATGGTGGCTCACAACCATCTTTAATGAGATCTGCCACCTTTTTTTTTTTTTTTTTTTTTTTTTTTTGCCTACAGGCATGCATGCATGCAGGCAGAATACTGTGTACATAATAAATAAATCTTAATAGAAAAATGAAACACGGTTGCATCATTAAACAAATGTTCCATAGCATAAACAAATGTAACATATCTGAATATTTTACAACACTTGCTTGGCCTCTTAACTGTTAGCATGTCTGTTAAATAAGAACCCCAAATTAGTGATTCTAACATCTATCCTTTAAGGCATAAATGTTGAAGTTCATGTGATGGCAGACTTTTCTGTGATGATGAGGATTTCCTTCTATATGTTGTCAATATATATTTCTCTTACTGGTTGATGAATAAATGCTGATTGGCCAGGCAGGAAGTATAGGCAGGGCTACCAGATGAGAATGTTAGGAAGAGAAACAGAGAGGGAGGGAGAGAGAGTCACTAGGGAGTTGCCAGGTAGCTTCCAGGAAGATAGGATGCCTGCTGGGATGCTGGAGTCAAGGCCACTCCAAGCGACTCAAGAGTGCAGAGATGGCTTTGGCAGCCACTTGACGGCCCAGGGGCAGGCTGAGGTGTGTGATGGCCAGCACTACCTTGGGGCTGGACATGGCAGACACCTTTAGCAGTTCCAACACGGTGGTAAAGGGCGTGAACCGCAGAATGCTGCCCCTGCTGTCCTGCTCCAGGCAGTCTACACACTCCTCCAGGAACCACTGCACAAACTGGGGGAAGGGAGGGGGAGGGTGGCAGTGCATGAGCCCAGGATGTTGACTGTGTGGAATTGGGAAGCTGAGAGGGAGCTGTTCACGGAGCAGTCAGGGGGAAGGAAAAGTGATTTTTATTTTAACAATTTCATACGTGTTTAATTTTTTTGTTTTGTTTTGTTTTGTTTTAAAGAGGAATTGGGGGAGCAGAAAGAATAGGAAAGTAAAGAACAAAAAATTTCCAAGCAATTACAAAAAGTTTTGAAAAAATATATGCTATATAGAACAGTAACTTCCAAATTACTAGTAGGATATTAACACTGGTCAAAGAATGACAAATTATTCTACTAATCCCCAGCAATACAGAATTAAAATCTGCTATCTGTATCCTTGAGTAAAGTGGAATATTTTAACTTGTGATAGAATAACATGTCATTCAATATATAGCAGTGACAAAATACATTAAGAAGCACCTTTATTAAAACAACTAAACTTCACAATCTATATTTCAAAATCTAACATGGTTTCTGGAAAAAAAAATAACTCTCAAGAACCAGTTTTGTTCTTTTGATACAATCATTTGAGAACTGTCAAAAGTGAGGTTATAAAGTAAATTTTGTTTTATAATGAATCCATATTCTTAAAGAGGCAAGTTATCTGCAGACTCTGATGTCTGTGATATTTCTTTCATTATATCAAATAATGATGCCCTGTAAATTAAATTATAAGCAATCCTTCAAGTTTCTTTTTTCTTTTTCAGACAGGGTTTCTCTATGTCACAGTCCCAGCTGTCCTGGAACTTGCTTTGTAGACCAGGCTGGCCTAGAATTCTACCTGCCTCTGCCTCCCAAGTACTAGGATTAAAGGCATGTACCACCATGCCCGTCTTCCTTCAAGTTTTTGTGACATTCTATATATTTATTGGATTTATCTGTTATAATAAAATCCTTATATTCGGTAAGATCTAAGCTGTCAGCAAAGGCTTGGCTATATTCTTATAATTTTGTAGTGTAAATACTTTGATTTTCTGAGGTATATTAGATTCCTTCCATAAAATTTCTACCTAATATGAATTCACTGATGCTTAATGAAGATCAAGCCTCAGCTAAAGGTTGTGCAACATTATTTATATGTGCAAGTTTTCTCATTAAGATAAAAATCTCTGATGTTGATTATAGCATGAAGGATAAAGGATTTGCCACATTATTTTAACTTGTATGGTTTCTATCATGTATAAATTTTTGATGTTATATAAGTGTAAAACAACTGTTAAATACTTTGCCATCCTCTCTGCACTTACAGGGGTTCTCTCCAGTTTGTATGGATTTTTTGGTATTAAGGGCTTTACCATTATTAAAAGCTTCGCCATAACCTTCATATTTGTAGAGTTTTTCTATAGTATGAATTCTTTGGTGTTGTTTAAGATTTGAAGAACAGCTAAAGCCCTGGCAACATTCTTTGCACTTGTAGGGTTTTTCTCCAGTGTGAATTCTTTGGTGTTGACTGAGAGCTGAGCAATTATTAAATGCTTTGCCACATTTCTCACACTTATATGGTTTCTCTCCAGTGTGAATTCTTTGGTGTTGAATAAGGGCTGAAAAATTATTAAAGGCTTTGCTACATTCTTCACATCTATAGGGTTTCTCTCCAGTATGAATTCTTTGATGATAATTCAGGTGTGAAGACGAGTTAAAGGCCTTGCCACAGTCTTTGCACTTGTAGGGTTTCTCTCCAGTGTGAATTCTTTGGTGATGAGTAAGGCTTGAACTATTATTAAAGGCTTTGCCACATTCTTCACATTTGTAGGGTTTCTCTCCAGTATGAATTCTTTGGTGTTGAATGAGGGCTGAACAATTATTAAAGGCTTTGTCACATTCTTTACACTTATAGGGTTTTTCTCCAGTATGAATTCTCTGGTGTCGAGTAAGGTAAGAGACCATGGTAAAAGCTTTGCCACATTCTTTACACTTGTAGGGTTTATCTCCAGTATGAAGTATCTGATGATAATTAAGGTATGAAGAACAGTTAAAGGCCTTGCCACATTCTGTGCATTTGTAAAGTTTCTCACCTGTATGAATTCTCTGATGCCTATACAAGTGTGAAGAACAATTAAAGGCCAAGCCACATTCTTCACATTTGTAGGGTTTCTCTCCAGTATGTATTCTTTGATGTTGGGTAAGGCTAGAAGACCAGTTAAAAGCTTTGCCACATTCTGTGCATTTATAGGGTTTCTCTCCAGTATGAATTCTTTGATGCTTATACAGGTGTGAAGAACAGTTAAATGCCTGACCACATTGTTCACATTTGTAGGGCTTCTCTCCAGTATGAATTCTTTGATGCGGGGTGAGGCTTGAAGAACAGCTAAAAGTTTTGCCACATTGTTCACATTTGTAGGGCTTTTCTCCAGTATGAATTCTCTGGTGTTGAATAAGGAGTGAGTTCCGAACAAAGGCCTTGTCACATTCTTTACATTTATAAGGTTTTGTTCCTGTTGAATAAATAATGGGGTATCACTAAAAATGATAATCTTTATATTTATAATGCTTACTGTTAACATTGTATATTTTACTCAATCACATTTTATACCCTCATAATGAACCATAAAAATACACTTCTACACCCCAAATCACTACAGCATTACTCAGAAAATACCACAGGTGGAAAAAAAAACCTAACACCCCAGTGTACTGAAAGATAAAGACAATATGGAATATACAAACAAATGAATACTATTCAGCCTTAAAAATGTAATCACATACTATATACCATAAGGATAAATCTTAAAGGTGCTATGATAGTTGAAATAAAGCCTATTACACAAAGACATATGACCTGAATTATTCACAGATTCTATAGTAATAAAACTTGTAAAACTGAAAGTAGAATGCTAAATGGAATAGATTGTATGGAGACAAAAGTACACAGTTTCTTTCATAAGTACAGAGCTATTTTCAAAAGCGAAAATATTTTCTAAAAGTATATTGCTTAAAAATTTGAATAAATGGGGCTGGAGAGATGGCTCAGAGGTTAAGAGCAACCACATGGTGGGTCATAACCATCTGTAATGAGATCTGGTACCTTCTTCTGGCATGTAGGCAGAACACTGTATGTATAATAAATAAATAAATCTTTAAAATTTTTTTGAATAAACTTAATATACTCAAAATATTCAAGATACTTTTATACAATTGAAATAAATTTAAATTATAAATTAATATATTTAAATTTGTAAATCACTAAAGTTTCAGTAAAGGCAATGTGTCCAATCTTAAACAGATGATAATAAAATTAGCAAAATTTCTACAAACACTCATTTGTCAGGATAAAGCAACTATTGTGTATGGTATGAAAATATGGAAATGGGTAAATAAAAATGAAATTCTATTGGAAATATAGATATAGTTAACACATATGTCTTTTTTGTTTTGTTTTGTTTTGTTTTTCTAAACAGGGTTTCTCTGTGGCTTTGGAGGCTGTCCTGGAACTAGCTCTTTTAGACCAAGCTGGTCTTGAACTCACAGGGATCTGCCTGCCTCTGCCTCCTGAGTGCTAGAACTAAAGGCATGCGCCACCAACGCCCAGCTATTTAATTGCAGTTACAGTGTCTTAACTGCAATCCAATCAGAATATGTCTAAACATATTATCAACTTATTTGTGAAAACCTAGGACCAGAAAAGCAAAACAAACAAACAAACAAACAAACAGAAAATGGGATTCCAAATAAAAGAAGGAAAATCTTGAACCCATAAACTCCTGAAAGAATACTTTAAAATTACAAAAAGAAATTCTTTCAACTATGTATCCTTTTTGGGTGAGACTATAGAAACAAATGCATTTTAGATGCCATCTTACATCTGTCAGAATAGCTAAAATCAAAAACACCAACAACAATTTATGCTGGAGAGGAGAATGTAGAGAAAGGGGAACACTATCCATTGCTGGTGGAAATGCCATTTTGGAAATCAGTAAGGCAGATTCTCAGGAAAATGGGAACCAGTCTACCTCACGATTCAGCAATTCCATTCTTAGGCATATATCCAAAAGGTGCATATTCATTACCACAAGGACATCTGTTCAGCATTACTTGTAATAGCCAGAACCTGGAAACAACTTAGATGCCCCTCAACCAAAAAATGGATAAAGAAAACGTGTTACATTTACACAATGGAGTACTACTCGGCGGAAAAAAAAAAAAAAACAATGAAATCTTGAAATCCGCAGGCAAATGGATGGAACTAGAAGAAGCCATCCTGAATGAGGTAACCCAGTCACAGAAAGAAAACAATGGTATGTACTCACTCAGAAGTGGGTATTAGACATAGAGCAAAGGATAGCCAGCCTACAACCTACAACCCCAGAGAAGCCAGGAAACAAGGAGGACCCCCTGAGACATACGTGGACCCCCTGCGTAGCAGGAAGGGACAAGAACTCCTAAGTAAATTGGGAGCATGGATGGGGGGGGGGGGAGGAAGAGGAGAGGAGAAGGGGAACGGGGAGGAGAACATGAGGGATCAGCAAGGGGAAGAACAGGGAAGAGTGGGGAAAGAGATACCGTAATAGAGGGAGCCACAGTGGGCTTAATGAGAAATCTGGCACTAGGGAGGTCTCCAGGGATCCACAAGGATGACCCCAGCTAAGAATCTAAGCAAGGGTAGAGAAGCCCTTTAAATGCCCTTCCCCTATAATGAGCTTGATGACTACCTTAAATGCCATCCTAGAGCCTTCATCCAGTAGTTAATGGAAGCAGAAGCAGAGAGTCACAGCTAAGCACTGAGCTGCACTCCCTCCTGGAATCCAATTGTGAAGAGGGAGGAGTGATGAGCAAAGGGGTGAAGACCACGCTGGGGAAGCCCACAGAGACAGCTGAACTGAGCAAGTGGGGGCTCATGGACCCCAGTTTGACAGCTGGGGAACCAGAAGACTAAACCAGCCCCCCTGAATGTGGGTGTCAGTTGGGGAGGCCTGGGCAGTCTATGGGGCCTCTGGCAGTGGAACCAGCATTTATTCCTAGTGGACAAATGGGCTTTGTAGCCCATTCCCTATGGAGGGATACTTTCTCAGCCTAGATCCTTTCCCAAATGATGTGATAAACTCTGATGATCCCCCATGGGAAGCTTCACCCTCCCTGAGGAGTGGATGGGTGGTGGTGGTAGGGGCAGGTATGAGAGGATGGGAGGGAGAGAGAGAACTGGGATTAGTATGTAAAATACAATTGTTTTTAATGAAAATGAAAATCAATAGTACATGACTTTGAAAAAATCATAAAAGAGCACACTCACAGAGAGCTCTGAAGAGACAATGAGCATATAGATAAATTCGAGGAACTCATTTGTGGCTTCTACATTTTAAAAATTTAACACAGAGGTCTTTAGAAGTATGTCTGAATTGCCTGAGCTCTATATAGCAATGCAAATATCAGGACGTAGCTATTCATAGGCAAAAGGAATTACTTTGTAGTCACTATGAATGTGTGTAGAGATCAATGGAGGGGAAGAACATGTCTCTGAGGACTTAAAAGTATGACAGACATCCACTAGAAGTGTCTTTTTTGATAGAGAAATAAATGGAGACTCCTAAAAATTATTTCCATCAAACAGCTTTTCAATCCACATTTTAAAAGCCTAACATTTTGTTGGATTTTGGACTTCTCATCCGTGTCCTCTCATTCCTACATACCTGGATATATGGCTACTGCTGCTTGATGCTTCACCTCCCAAGGCTGTTTTCTTTGTTCCAGAAGTGTGATCAGATATGGCTTAGAGAAAGCAAGACCTGTTTGTAGAAAAATGATGCTTTGTATTGGTCTCTGGGAAATCGGCATTTCTATCCTATTATGTGCTTATAAGGAAAGAGGAAATAAAAAAAAAAAAAAAAAAACTATTTCTCTAAGCCTTTCCTGATAAGTATATTAGAAAATGAAGGAAGATTTTACAGTTTGTAGATCTTGTGCTTTACTTACAAATAAAGAAAAATTAAAGTTAAAGAAGTTAAAGAGTGGTGTATTGTTTTACTTTAAATGTGTGTGGTATATTTCACGCAAATGAATTTCTAAAATTACCACTAGAGTGAACGATTCATAATTTATAACAAGAGGTTTAAAAAGAATAAAACTTATCTAACCTATTATTAACCACTCCATTTTTTCCTTAAAAGCAGAAATATGAAATTCATTAATATAAAGCATAAGCACTCATGAGATATTCTATAAAGAAAGGCAATTAAATGTTGACGGTGAATTAAGGATCAGTAGGGAAGCGATACTCACCTAGAGAGACAAGGTTGCTGTAATTCTCTAACATCACATCACTATACAAATCCCACTGTGCGGGGTCCAGGCATTCAGACTCCTCTGGAGAGAAATCAATGGCCACATCTCTGAATGACAACTGTCTCTGATATAGAAATAAGTTAATTGCAATAAAGTAATTATTAATCAATAAATAGTTATATATTTCCTGACAGTTCTTAATTTTACCAAAGATGAAAGGAGAGCTAGAAATGGTTCTGATCTAAGTAATATTAATCAATAAAATTATTTGATATGTAGTAATATTATCTCATGAATTATCTTTAATGAAAAATTATGTAAGACCCAGTAAACTCATAAATATTTTTAATGAAAAAATGTAAACTGAAGGAATCTACATTAAATTTAGTGTGCTAAATTTGTATTATACTATATAAATTATAAATCTTTCATATAGAATAACACTAAGGATAAGTTATAATACTATCAATTTTTAAAAATATATACAATTATGAATAGGAAATGTAATTAAGATGCATATTCAGATGCAACAACTCTGAGCTAAATTCTGGGTTTCTGAGTCTGTACAGATCTCAGTAGTGATATCAATGACTAATCTGAATTGCCATGAAGTAGAACAATAAAGGAACAATTCATAGATACAAATGAATTCCAAGAATTCAAATGTTACACATTAAAAATAGAAAGTACAGCAACAATACCTTTTGAATATTAAAATAAACTACATGTTGACCCAGTTGCACTAGCTAGTCAGCAGGAAAGGCTCCTGCAGGCAGGCTGCACCAATCCCCCCCCACATCAGAGTCTGTAATCTACAAGTCTCACTCTGCCCCCAAACCCACCCATTCCCTGTGACCTCAGTGTCTCTCAGAGACACAGACATTGTACAGAGAGGACCAAGAGAGAGAACCAAGAGACAGGGACTACACTGATGGATCTAAGAGATGATCCCTGAGACAGACACCAACTACAATGATTGGACTAAGAGGCAAAGACACTGCCTGCAGATTGGAGGAAGAGATGCACAGTAACCAATGTGAGAATACATTTGACAACCTGAAGAGCAATATGTCACCACTAGAACCTAGTTAGTGGTCCTACAACAGGAAGACCCGAACATCCCAATGCAGAAGAAGCAGAAGAAAATAATCTTAAAAATAACTTTATGGTTATCTACCATCATAGAGCCCTCATCTAGTAGCTGATGGAAACAGAAGCAAACACCACAACTAAAGACTGAGCTGAACTGGAATCCAGAGGGAGGACAAGACCAGGCTACAGAAACACATAGAGACAGCTGACCTGAACGAGGAGGAGTTAATGGGCTCCCAGACTGATAGCTGGGAGTCCAGCATGGGACTGACTCGACCCTCCTGAATATGGGTCTCAACCAGAAGGACTGAGCAGTCTAAGTGACCTCAGACAGTGGAACCAGGGTGTATTCCTGGTGCACAAAAGGACTTTGCGGGCACATCCCCCATGGAGGGATACTCCCTTAACCTAGAGACAGGAGAGAAGGCCTAGTCCCTACTCCAAATGACTTGACAGATTTAGATGACCCTGCCTGGAAGGCATCACCCTACATGTGTAGTGGGGTGGGGGTGGGAGGGGAACGTGCTAAGGGGGGCTTGAGAGAATGGGAGAGAAGGAAAGAGGGAGGGAGGGAAGGAAGGAGGGAGAGGAAACTGGGATTGATATGCAAAATAAAAATAAAAAAATTAAAAAAGAAATAAAAGTTTAAAAAATTCAAAAAAAATAACTTTATGAAGATGACAGAGACTCTTAAAGAGGAAATAAAAAATTCCCTTAAAGAAATTGAGGAAAAGACACCAAAACATTGGAAGAAATCAATAAATCTCTTAAAGAAAGCCAAGAAAAAGCAATCAAACAGGTGAAAGAAACATTTGAAGACTTGAAAATTGAAATAGAGGCAATAAAGAATGCACAAACTGGGAGGATTCTGGAAATGGAAAATGTGGGTAAATGAACAGGAACTACAGATGCAAGCATAACCAATAGAATGCAAGAGATGGAAGAATCTCAGGCATTGAAGATACAATAGAGGAAATAAATCCATAGGTCAGAGAAAACATGAAAGCCAACAAAGTCATAACACAAAATGTCCAGGGAATCTGGGACACCACAAAAAGACCAAACCTAAGAAAAATAGGGATAGAAGAAGAATACCAGCTCAAAGGCAAAGAAAATATATCAGCAAATCATGGAAAGAACTTTCCCAACCTAAAGAAAGAAATGCCTATGAAGATACAAAATAGACAGGATCCCACTCCCCCCAAAAAAAGTACCCTTACAACATAATAATTAAAGCACAAAATATACAGAATAAAGAAAGAATATTAAGAGCTGCAAAGGAAAAAGGCCAAGTAACATAAAGGCAGGCCCATAGGAATAACACCAGACTCCTCAATGGAGACTCTGAAAGCCCAGAAGACCCTGCACAGATGTTATGCAGACACTAAGAGACCATGGATACCAACCCAGATTACTCTACCCAGAAAAACTTTCAATCACCATAGATATTCCATGACAAAAAAATGTATAAACAATACCTATCCATAAATTCAGTCCTACTGAAAACATTAGAAGGAAAACTCTAACCCAAGGATGTTAGCTGTACCCATGAAAGCACAGGTAATAGGTTAATTCCACACCAGCAAATCCTAAAGAGGGGAAACACACACACACACACACACACACACACACACACACTACCACCACCAAAAAAATAACAGGAATCAACAATCACTGGTCATTAATATTATCCCGTAATATCAATGGACTCAACTCACCTATAACAACACACAGGCTTGCCAAGCAGTAGTGGCACATGCCTTTAATCCCAGCACTTGGGAGGCAGAGACAGGTAGATCTCTGTGAGTTCAAAGCCATCCTGGGTTACAGAGAAAGTGCCACGACAGGCTCCAAAGCTACACTGAGAAATCCTGTCTCAAAAAACCAAAACCAAACCAAAACAACAAAAAGACACAGGCTAACAGAATGAATGTGAGAACAGGATGAAAACAGGATCCATCCTTCTGCTGCATACAAGAAACCCACCTCAACTTCAAAGACAGACATTACCTCAGAGTAAGGGTTGGGGAAAGACTTTCCAATAAAATGGTCCCAAGAAGCAAGCTGGTGTACCTATCCTAATATTTAACAAAATAGACCTCAAACTAAAGGTAATAAAAAGAGATGGACATTTCACATTCATCACAGGGAAAATCCATCGAGACTAAGTCTTTGTTTTGTTTTTTATTTTGTTTTGCTTGTTTTTTGGAGACAGGTTTTCTCTGTATTGTTTTGGATGCTGCTCTGACACTCACTCTGTAACCGACTCCAACTCAAAGAGATCCATCTGCCTGCCTCTGCCTCCCGAGTGGTGGGATTAAAGGCATGAGCCACCAATGCCTGGCTGAGATGAAGTCTTAATCCTGAAAACATATGCCCCAAATACAAGGACAGCCACATCTGTAAAAAAGAAACATTACTAAAGCTTAAATTGCACACCAAACCCCACACACTAATAGTGGATATGTCTGCCAGATAGAAAATTAAGAGAGAAATAGGAGATTTAACAGATGTTATGACTCAAATGGGATAAACAGACATCTATAGAACATTCACCCAAACACAGAAAACACAGAATATACCTTCTTCTCAGCACTTCATGGAACCTTCTCTAAAATTGTCCACATACTCGGTCACAAAGCAAATCTCAACAGATATAAAAAAATTGGAATAAACTCCTTTCCCTTAGCAGATCACCAAGGCTTAAAGTTAGAATTTAACAACAAAAATTATAGAGAGAGAAAAGAAAAAACATACACTGCATGTCATTTATATCCTCAAACATTTATGATTATTTTTATCATCAGAAGTCTAAAACCCCATCTTCTAGCTTTCTGAAATTTATGTAACTGGTACCTGTGGTCACCATTCTGTATAATAATAGTATTCTTGTCTTGCTTCCCCCTAAATGTATAATAGCACCAGCTCTCATTTTCTGATGTCATTATACCTCCAATTTCTGAGATCAAATTTTGATTGAGACCAAGTGGCATTTGTCTTTCTCTCTCTGCCTGAATACATTATTTCCAGATTTACCCATTTTGTTATAAATGATAGAATTTTGTTCTGTTTCACATCTGAATACTGTTTCATTATACATGTAAACTTCTTAGTTACATGTTATTTTTTCTTTTCTGGCACCATTTTGTTAAAAATCTAGACAATTATAGAAATAACATTTCGACTAAGTTCATGTGACCCCAAAAGTATAGAAAAAAAAAGAATATTTTTTAAATGGCCAAAACTCAAGTGTTTGTGCTAAAATAATGTTTAAAATAGTTTCATAGCAAAAAAAAAAAAAAAAAAAAAGATTATAGAAAACCCATTAAAGTCAGCCAAACAAAACTGTCAAATAATATTTATATCTGATATATAATATGTAAAAATAAGAGCTAAATGTTAGGAAAAAGAAAATTTTCATGTCTTTGAAAACAAGGAATATGATTAACAAGGGCTAGTGAGTTTAGTTTACTCACGAGGTAAAGGGCAGCTTGAATTTCATCCCTGAGACCCACATGATGGAAGGAGAGAAAAGACTCCTGCAAGTTGTCCTTGAACCTCCACACGTAGTATATTCTCTCTCTCATATACACACAATAAGTAAACAAATAATAAATGCTAATAAAAAATACATCATGAAAGGAGATAACTTTGTGGGACGAGTGTGTGTAAGGGTACAAGGAAGAGAAGGAGGAAGGAGAGTCAACAAATCAGATACTCCAATTTCAAATGTGGTACAGAGCTAAACAGAGAATTCTCAACAGAAGACTCTCAAATGGCCTAGAAATACTTAAGGAGATGTTCAACATCCTTAGCCGTTAGGGAACTTCAAATCAAAATGACTCTGAGATCCCATCGCACACCTGTCAGATGGCTAAGACCAAAAACACAAGTGGCAACTCATGCTGGAGAGGATGTGAAACAAGGGGAACCTCCTCCAAACTTGTATAGTCAGCCACTTTGGAAATCAGTGTGGTGGTTTCTCAGAAAACTGGGAATCAATCTACCACAAGACCCAGCTATCCAAAGGATGCTCAATCATACCACAAGGACACTTGCTCAACTACATTCATAACAACTTTATTTGTAATAGCCAGAACCTGGAAACAACACAGATGCCCCTCAACTAAGGAATGGATAAGAAAATGCACTCATTTACACAATGGAGTATTACTAGGCTATTAAGACAATGACATCAGGAAATTTGAAGGCAACTGGATGGACTAGAAACATATTCCAATAAACTTATTTCGTAGAAGAACACTTTTTGGTTTTGATATTTATTATAGTAAACTTTTAAATTACAAACCTCAAGTATTTGAAAAATGTTTCAAGAATAAATCTAACAGAATTGGTAAACATCTGAGCTAACTGTGTGGCATAATGAGAGAAGGAGAAAGGATGGGAGAAGATTCTGAATGCAGGAAAGATATATTGTAGAGATAACTTGGCTATCATAGGAGGGGAAATAAAGTATTTAAAATGTTTACCATGTGTATAAAAGCAAAGATTTGCAGGTCATAAATACAACGTATTTTGGGAGGAAAATTAAGACTATGCCCTTGTCTCGGGCCATATTTACCTTAGAACCATCCATTTCTTCTTCTTCTTTCTCTGTTTCTTCCTGTGTTTGACACAAGAGAGCCACGCTCATGTAGACTTCCCTTTTTGTAGGTTCAATATTGATGTTAGCTTTCACTCAGTTGTTGAGGTATTTCTGCATCTCATTTTTACCAAGTTTTAAATGAGACAGTATTCGGCTTAAAACCAGAACAACACTCAAGATCAGCATTTCCATCTACATAAGGAGGGGAAACATTACGAGGCATTGATATTTCATAGCTAAAAAGGAAAGAAAAAATTATTTGTAACTTTCAAAAATAAATGAGTTAGTTTTTTCATTGATAACAAACTATTACGTGATCAATAAATCACATATGGACAATTCTAGAACTGCCAATTCCTTCCCAAATGACTTACTATTAAACTCAATGTCCAGGTAACAAGATAGAGGACCAGCCATCACAAGCTTTCAAAAGAGGATTTATGCCAGGTGGTGGCGGCGCACACCTTTAGTCCCAGCCATCGGGCAGCAGAGGTAGGCGGATCTCTGTGAATTTGAGACCAGTCTGGTTTGCAAGAGCTAGTTCCAGGACAGGCTCCAAAACCACAGAGGAAACCTTGTCTCGGGGGGGGGGGGGGGGGGGGGGGGAGGATTTATTGTATTTTTGTATCACTGAATTAGATTTCAATTATAAACTATCTACTATATTTTCTTCAAATTTTCCCCTACATTTTGCAGTTGCAATAGGGTAGAGATTTTCCCTATATTCTCTGGTGGCATTATCAGTAAAGCCATGAAATTCCATTCAAAATCACCTGCCAAGAATAATAACCCGAGAAAGACATTCACTAATTGCTAGTGGAATGCAAAGTCAATGTCCTAGTTTGCTTCCTGCTGTTGTGACAGACAGCATGACTGACACCAACTTTGGCAGGAGAGGTTTTATATGGCTCATAGCTTACATCCCATCACTGAGGGAAGTCACAGCAGGAACCTGGTGGGAACAACTGAAGCTGAGATCATTGAGGAATGCTGCACAAACACTGTGGGATTTAATGCCCACTCCATGAGACGCAACCCATACATGACTCTGCTCTAGAGAAGAATCTAAGATTGGTTAGGCCACGTGCCAGGGGAAACCAAATATTGTTCTGCTAAAGGAACACAGCAATAAAAAGATTCCTAATGACATTGTCTATCTCAGCAATCATCACAGACACCCACAGAAACAGCTGACCTGAACAAGGGGGAGCTCAGCATAGAACCTACCCAGACTCCCTGAACATGGGTGTTAGTTAGGAGGGCTGGGCAGTCTACGGGGCCTCTGGTAGTGGATCAGTATTTATCCCTAGTATACAAATGGACTTTGGGAGCCCATTCAACACAGAGGGATACTCTCTCAGCCTAGACACATGGGGTTGGGCCTAGGTGCTGCACCAAATGATATGACAGACTGAAGATTCCTCATGGAAGGCGTCACCCTCCCTGGGGAACAGACAGGGGATGGGATGGGGGTTGGTGGAGGGGATAAGGGAGGAGGGAAGGGTGAAGGAACTGGGATTGACATGTAAAACAAGCTTGATTCAAATTTAAATTTTGCACTCTAGAGTGTAGGATCAATAATTGCTTGGACTAAGCAAATCTAAGGTGGTCCTTTCTGGAAGCTTTATCTCTGTATAGAAGTGTTGCTATGAGAGTTCAGGTCAGAGGGGTAGTGTGTCTGGGGGCTTTAGCTTCAAAGGGGGTTCTTTTAAATTCTGTAATGATTTATTTATTCCAAAGAAAATGAAACGACATTCCAATACATCAACTTCCTTCACAGAACTCTGTCCCCGGAAACTGTTTTTATAAACTGCAACAAAGAGTACTAGGCAAGCTAGAGACTCCACTCGGTTAAATACGCCAAGAATCTCATAATTACAACCGTCATGCAAGTCTCATTAATCTGGTAACACGACCTTTCCACGGCAAAGCTGGAAAACGAATTCATGTATACACCTCCCAAGATCAGGTAGTGGGCAGAAACATCCCAGCTTGAAGCGGGAGGGGGGAATCAGTCTCGGATCGGTTACTCGATCCATCTTTCCAGTTCTTAGGAGCACACGGTAGACAGATAACTGGCAGCACACTAAATTCTAACAGAGCGATCTCTGAAGTACTGTTCCAATCATCTTCTCCCCAGCCATGAGCTAGGTCACCGCAAAAACCTCCCCAACAGATTCTATCTGCCTTCTGTCCACCCACATTTTCGCTCCCTGTAAGCATTGGAACCCCCCTCCTACCTGCAGAGTGCCTCAGGGTTGTAGAGCTCCTCTTTACCCGCTGGCAGCTACCTTCAAGTCAAATAATCCAAACTCAAGCTTGTAGAACAGCGAACAGTATCCACAGACCTGATCTCGAGGGAAGACCCTTGAGACACAAATTAGCACTCAATGCCAAAGCCAGGTCTCCACGGCCCTTGCTTGTGACGTCACACTAGGCGAGACTACATTTCCCACAAGTCTGGGGGTGTGGGGTGGGATTTCAGGAACTATTGAAAGGATTTGAGTATTTCCTCTGTTTTTAGTTCTGCTTCCTGAGATTGAGGGTGTCATAGACATCTATGGTAAACACCAATGCACATAAAATTAAGATGTATCTTTTTAATTCCCTGAATGACAAAATGAATTGATTCGGATGTCTGAACGTAACTAAATCCTTTGACAATAATTGTTTTATTTGGTTTACTTGTTGTTTCTGGTTATTGTGGTTTAAAACAAAACGCCTACTTCCAGATGCTTACTATAACTGTAGACTTCTGGGTAGTATGAATTTAAAGGCCTTCACCACCAGTGCTGGCTTTAAAAATCATGTTTAAAGGGTTAGGAATGAGTTCCCCTATTTGTTTATTGTTTACTTTCAAGAAAAATTGAGTTGATGTCAATTTTCCATGCTATAGAACAGCCTAGTCAACTTACTCAGACCCTGTCTCAAAACTAAAAATGGTAAAGGATATTGCTCACTGGTAGAGTGCTTGCCTAGCACGTGCAAAGGGCCTGGCTTCTATTCCTTGTACCACTTCTCATACGCACATTCACTTATGAATACATATTTCAGGGCCCATTTCCAGGGGATGACACTACTAAAATTTGGTCTTAATAACAGCTAATTCATATTGAGCTCCTGTGCAGGGTTCAGTGTAGTTAGGAGCTATTCAGAGTAGTCAGGGCAATAGATGTTGCAAAAGATAGCTCTAGTCTGCCGATGATAAGCAATGGGAAAGAGAACAAGGCCCAACCCTAGGGCGTCTACAGATCTTCTCTAAGTTTCCGTTCCCTGCAACCCTGAGTAGTGTAAGTTTCTGAGCCTCCTAAGAGTGCTGGGCACATAGTCCAACAGCTGATAAGAAGTAAGGCTTGGGTTTGTAGTATCCACTTTCTTCTTCCCATTGCCAGGCCTCTTGCTGAAATCTCAGCAATGTGCTAAGACTATGATGTGCTAGGGAGCAAACCCAGGGTCAGTGCACACTAGGCAAACACTCTATTACTGAGCAACGTCTCCAGCCCCAAACTTAAGATGGTGGTTGTGATTGATGTGTTGTTTTGTGTGTTTTTGTCACATGCATCCATATATAACTGTGTATACACATGCATGCATGGACAGAGGCCAGAATAAAACATCAGGTGTCTTCTTTTTATCACCCTTTGAGTTGTTGCCTTGAGAGTGTATCTGAAATTTGCTGTCATTTGGTTAAATGAGCTGGCCTGTGAGCATTAGGATTCCTCTCTCTCTCTCTCTTTCTCTCTCTCTCTCTCTTTTCCTCCCTCTCTCCCTCCTTCTCTCTCTCTCTGCTAATTTTAGGGTTATAGGCATTCACAACCATGCCAGCTTTTACATGGATGCTGGAGATTCCAACTTAAGTCCTCTTACTTTCAGGGCAAGCAGTCTTAAAACACTAAGCTATTTCTCCAACCCCTGTTGTTTTGTTTCAGGAACTTGTTCTCTAGCTCACACTATTCTCAAATTTATGATTTGTTGTTTTTATCTAAGTTTTGACTGTTCTATTTTATCAGTAAAAACTTGGGAGTCAGATGCTGGTGTGAAACTGCTAGCTCAGAGAGGCAGAGAATGTACCCAGCTGCTTCCTCCTTCCTCCCAGAAAGAATCTTTCTTCTATAATATTCCTGCCAACCCTTCTCCAACTGGATGTGCCTCCCTTTTACTTCCTGTGTGTCTCTCTATCTATCTTCCTGACTTTCTCTAATACTCTATGGTTGTTCTTGTCAACTGGTTCCTTGGTCTGCCTCTTGATATATGGTTGATTTTGTTAAATCCTGTTTACGATATTCAAACATAAAGCGCTTGGAGCCAGACAGTAGTGGTGCATGCCTTTAGTCCCAGCACTCGGGAGGCAGAGGCAGGCAGATCTCTGTGAGTTTGAGACCAGCCTGGTCTACAAGAGCTAGTTCCAGGACAGCTTCCAAACCACAGAGAAACCCTGCCTTGAAAATCCAAGAAACAAAACAAAACAAAACAAAACAAAGCTCTTGGATTAAAAGTGTGTGCTAGCGCTGAGCCACACTACAGCTAGAAGCAGATTTTCCAGTAAATAACACAATCTCAGGGTTCACAGTGCAATCAAATATCTTGCAACAATTCTCCTTCCTCTGCCTCCCAAGGGCCAGAAATGGAGGTGTAAGCTGCCTACCAGGCACGAAACTTTTGTTCTAGGATTTTGTGTAAGAATTTGTCAAAGGGACTTTCCTTTGGGGGTGGGAGATGTACTGATTAAAAAGAGATTTATTTTCTTTTTCATTACTCATTTGTAGTTATGAGGGCATCAGGTTAGGGCTGCCAGGTATAGGTTTTGGGAACAAACACTGGTTCTCTATAAGCACAGAAAGCACTCTTAACCACTGAGCCCTGGAAGATGCTTTTAAAAAGAGGAGTTATCAAGAATTTTGTGATTGTTTGAATGTATTTGGTCCCCATAAACTCATAGGGACTGGCACTACTAGGAGGTGTGACCTTGTTGGAGGAAGTGTGGTCCTGTTGGAGGAGGCTGGATGGCACACACCTTTAATTCAGACCTTGAGGCTGGAGGGCACACCTTCTGTTGAAGTGATTTTCTTCAGATTTTAATGAAGCATTTGATATAGAACTTGTCAGGAAAAGTTTTCATTTTAGTTAAGGCATTCAAAAATATCTTTAATTTATGTACTATATATTGTAAGAAATCAAATACAGAAATGATATTTGTGAAATCCTGCATAAGTAACTGGTGGCACTAAAATATTTAAAAATTAACTCTAGGAATCTATTTTAATGATGCTAATATAAGTTAGATAAGATGATTCTCGGTACAGGTACCAGTTCTGCAGAATATTTTCTGGGTGCTCTGCCAGAATAAACATGACCACTGTTTCTTATTTACAGTGTGGAGAGAGGTCACATGCCCCTTTCAGGGTTAGGGAGAAA